AAGTGCTTGTAGGAGGTCCACTAAGATTTCAAAAGCATCATGCCTGCGTGTCCACTGAGAATGGCAAATTTCCTTCAGTTCTTTGCCCCTTTCTTCATTGTTCTGAAATAGGACAGAAATTACATTGTCAAGCTCTAAAAGCAGTTGTGGTGATCGATGGATAAAAGAACAAACTTCCTCAATTGTTCCTAACGCGATAGATACTCCCATAACAGGCACTGATTTTGCCAACCACATATTTAAGGCACAGGAAGAGCAGAGCGTGTACATAGCTTGGGGATATTTCTCTAAAAGTCTAGAAGCAACAACTTTCACTTTGGAAGAAAATCCACTGGACACAATGTAAGCCTGGCCACGACAGTACTCCATGCTGAATCCCCACTTCTCAGTTATCGTAGTGTGAAATTTCACAGCCAGAATTTCTGCATCGGCTTCATAAGGCAGGAAGCCCACAGATTCCTCTCTCAGGTTGTGAGCTTCGTCAACAAACCTCACCAACACAGGCAGGTGCTCTTCCCCTGCTATGTCCACCACATCGTCAGTGATGATGGAAAAGAAGTGAGAGTCTCTCACTTCCCTGAGGGTTTCTTCCCGGATGCAGCTCTCACAGATCTCTAGCATCTGTTTCTGCTGTGTTTTCGAACAGAACAATGTGTTAACTGCTGTTGTCTCAAAGCGCCTTCTCAGAACCTCTTCACCAGAATTGATCCGGCATTCCAGCAGTGCTTGAAAGTTATCAGGAGTAAAGAGACCTTCTGGGATTTCATCAGCTTCATGTCCATCCAGAGGTGTGTTCTGTTTTCCCGTAAGAATCAAAATTTCAAATAAAGATTTTAAGTATCCTTTGTTTTCCTTCTCTTCAAGGGTTAAAGGTAAAATGTCTTCACCCTGCTCTTCACCCCGTTCTTCTGCACTGGGGTTCTGAGCATTGCTGTTGTTTATTTCCTTATGTTTTCGTTCCTGTTCAGAAGTTTCATCAATTTTTTTCTGTTTCAGTGTCCTGATTTCATCTTCACTCAATTCTTTTATTCGTTTTCTGTGTCTACTGTGTGGATTATTCAGATGGCTGGTAAGATCAAATATTGTTGGTATTGCATTATCTCGAAGAACTGTCCTATAAGGGCTAGTTCTACAGATCATAGACCTCTCAAAGTGTTTGACACACAATCGATAATGTTTATTTAGTTGATCAGGTGTTCTATCTTCTAAATCTGCTCTCCCACAATTCTCCACCCACTTCTGACATCTGGCTGGATCCCGCGGGAACCTGTAAAAGGCCAGGTCCGACTGCGAGCTCTTGCGCGTGCAGTTGGGGGCCGCGCAGAAGTTTGGCATCGTCGTCTGCCCGCCGGCCGGCCCAGCCCTCCCCTCCCCGCCTCCTCAGGGCAGCCCGCCTGTCGGGGCGGGGCCGGGGAGGGGAGCCAGGCCCGCGCGCCGGGGGAGGGTCCCCAGATTTTTGTTTAAAAGTACTGATATAAATATCCCAGACTATCAATTTGCGGTCACACAATGATGATTTCCTTAGAGAAAATGCTTCTAATTGGACTTTCTGGGTCAAAGATTATTGGCATTTTAGGGGCTTTTTATATATATTATCTAATTACCCTCCAGAAAGAGAACTGGACTTCAGTTTCAGACTCGCAAGCAGTGTGAGCAGCTGTCTGGTCACTGAACCTTTGCCAACACTAAATATTGACCATTGGTACCTTTTCATATCTTTATTGAAGCCATATTAATTAGCTACACTAGAGGATTATAAAATAATAATAGTTACACACTGGCCCCTTCCTAATGCCAGATCCTAAGCTGAACACTTTACACACAAACATTTTCCTTAAAAGTCCCATCCATCCTGGGAGATGGTGTTATTAACATCCCCATCCTTTAGATGAGGATATGAAGACAAGAATGGTTAAGTAACTTGCCTAAACTCTCATAGCTAGTAAGTGGCAAATTTGAAACTAGGATTGTGTGATTTCAAAGTCTGAGTTTTTACTGACGAAACCATCCTGCTTCAATAGCATAAGTTTTTAGATGCTACATAATCTGTCTTAAGTTGATTCCCCAGAAAGGGATTCAGACTTTGAGATCTGTGTGCAGGAGGATTATTGGGGAGCGCTCTTGGGAACAGTCCCTGGGTTCAGGGCAGGGGCAGAGAAGCAAGATGGACAGAGGGAGAAGTTAAATAGCAAAGCAGTTGTGACAAAGGCCTCAGCGAGTTCTGGACCCAGGGTTGGGGTGGGAGGTGCTTCAGAGCATCCTGCATTGGGGCCAGAAAGCCAGACCTTCATAACCCTGTCATTGAATGTGGGCCTGGCCAGATAGTGACTTAACTCTGGATAAGACAGCTCCATTTGCGCAAAGGCAAGTCCCAGAGAGACTCCGCTGTGTGCTGTCAGGCAGGAATGAGTGCCTTGGTGCTGAGTGGGGGTATTAGCAGCACAGCATACATCCCCTCAGAACTCAAAAACACTTGTTCAGGGGACTGACCTGATGAGTCAAGCATAGGCCCAGAGTCCTGCCTGTCTTTAGTCCTTCTGGGAAAAGTATAGTTTTCTGAGGAATTTTTCCTCCTTTTCTGGGACTAGCTGGGGAGGGTCATTGTCGCAGCTGTATCCAGCTTCAGAATGTTGGTGATGGGGGTGGAGGAAAGAACTGAGGCTGTGGTCAGGAGCCCACTGGTCACTGTTCATTAGCTGGTGATATCACGAAGGGCCTTGTGGGAGACAATTTCTGGTGCCCTGTGCCAGTACCTCTCTTTCACTTCAGGAATCACCTCGCCCCATTTTCAGCTCATATGGTTTTATGGGGCTGGCCCTCTCCCCAGCCCCAGGAATGGGCACAGGACCAAATGCCTCTGGCTACGGTGATTGGTTAAAGAATAAACAGGTGACTTCCCCAGGCTAATGAGAGTCACACCTGGGACTTTGGCTGGAACATTTGGGAAAGAGATTCTCTTTCTACCATAGTTGCTCCAGCCTGGAGTTTCTGGTGGCTATCTTGGCCTTTACTTGGAGAGTACTCATTGGGAGAAAATGGGAGGAAAAAGACACATGGAGGTAGAGACAGAAACAAAGAGATACAGAGACAGAGAGGGACTGATTTCAGTGACATGGTTTTAGCACTTGAATTCAGACAAGCCTGTGGTTATACTTTCCTTATCACCATTCTTCAGACTTTTCAATTACCATAGCAAATAATTTCCTTTTTCTCCCTCTTAAGAAAGTGTGGCTTGGGTTATGGCCTTTGCTTTTGACAGAGTTCTCATGATAAAAGAGATAGCTGAAGGTCTCAAAGCACAGTAAACAGGGCTTCTTGGCCACCAGCGGCAGTTTTGGGGGGGGAGTGGTCTAGTATCCTTGAGCATCATAGAAGGCTGTAGTGACCACCACTACAGTGTAGTGACAGCACTTACCTAGGGTCACACAGGTGCTGGAAAATCCAGTCGGAGGACATACCTCTCCCAATGCAGAGAAGGAACTAAATGTACACTGACCTTCCCTAAAATCTTTATGTGATAAATAACACGGGTATTGATGGCTGGTGAGGTGAGATGGGCTGCGTTATGTGCTGAGAGATACAAAGATGAATCAGTCATGAACTCTGGCCTCAAGGGGCTATTCTCAAAGTTTTTTTCTTTTCTTTCTCTTTTTTAAAATAAATTTGTTCATTTATTTTTGGCTGCGTTGGGTCTTCGTTGCTGCGTGTGGGCTTTCCCTAGTTGCGGTGAGTGGGGGCTACTCTTCGTTGAGGTGCACGGGCTTCTCATTGTGGTGGCTTCTCTTGTTGCGGAGCACGGGCTCTAGCTACGCAGGCTTCAGTAGTTGTGGCACACAGGCTCAGTAGTTGCGGCTCGCGGGCTCTAGAGTGCAGGCTCAGTAGTTGTGGCACACGGGCTTAGTTGCTTTACAGCACGTGGGATCTTCTGGGATCAGGGCTCGAACCCGTGTCCCCTGCATTAGCAGGTGGATTCTCAACCACGGCACCACCAGGGAAGCCCTCAAAGTTTTTTTCTTAAACTCAACGTATTTGAGGTAGAATTGACAAGATTTGAGTATCAATGGAATGGAGGAGGGGAAAGGGATGATAGAATTAAGAATGACTGTAGCCAAAATGATTAATTAAGGTGGGAAGTAGAGGAGAATCTGATTAACTGAATTCTGGTTCACCGAGTCTTACTCACTGTAGGAAGAGCCATGAGCCATGCAGTTTTCTTCCCTTCTTCCCTCCCTTCCTCCCTCCTTTTTCCCCTTCCTTCCCTTCCCTTTCCTTCCTCCCTCCCTCCCTCCCTCCCTTCTTCCCTTCCCTTTCTTATGCCAGAGGTAGATATTCATGAAGTATGAGAGGCCAGAATTGGGAGTGCAACATGTAACAATTAGATGACAGTGTCATAAAACTATCACTCTGCTAGATTCCAGGAATAAAATAGGATGTATTTGTACTGATTTAAAGTTATCTATGTTTATTTGCTTTTCTACCACTTGCTATTTTGAATGAAAGAATTATTTAATGTGTCAAAGATTATTTTCCTTAATACATGCCTCCTTATTTATCACTCTGCTTCATCTCCTCTCTTTTTTTTCTTTTTTAATTTATTTTATTTATTTATTTTTGGCTGTGTTGGGTCTTCGTTGCTGCGCATGGGCTTTCTCTAGTTGCGGCGAGCAGGGGCTACTCTTCGTTGCGGTGCACAGGCTTCTCATTGCAGTGGCTTCTCCTGTTGCAGAGCACAGGCTCCAGGCACACGGGCCTCAGTAGTTGCGTCACTCAGGCTCAGTAGCTGTGGCACACGGGCTCTAGAGCGCAGGCTCAGTAGTTGTGGCGCATGGGCTTAGTTGCTCCGCGGCAT